AAAGACCTCCCCTTTGCGGTTTTCAGCCTTACAAACCCTTGTCTCTGCCCTCCTGAGCACGCACTTAGGCACTTTGTGCCGGGTGTTGCCGCTGGGTACCAGCTAAAATAAAGCGCTCTTTTCTTTTTGGACTTGTCTCCCAGTTGTCTCATTTTTGGGTTACAACAGTTACTCCTTTAATAGTCTTATCTAATTTCCAAATATAGTTGCATCATAATTTTGCTCAGATCTGTTTTATATTTTAATGACCATGACTAGGTAAGGATTGCTCAGAACTTAACCAGAGTGGGCATGGTGGCGACACCTGTAACTGCAGGACCTTAGAAGCTGAGGCAGAAAGATCACTGTGAATTCAGTGTCAGCCTGGGCTACATAGACAGACCCTGTCTCAAAAAATAACAAAGAACTAGTATGGACTCATGAATATCTTATATTAGGTTATAACCAAATACTAATTTATTTTTTTAATTTTTCTTCCTTGTTGCTGAAATTGTTCCAGCTTTGACCACTAGGATTTGGGTCAGTTGGTTCTTATATCCTTTTTGTATACCCACATTATTGTGCACATGGTTTAGATAATTTTTTATGACAGCCTTATTCTGGATGACTCTAGAAGATGCTTCAGATTCATCTTGCATATTTCTTGCCCCAGTGCTAGAATCAGCCAATTCTCCAGGAAGTTTTCAATCATTTTATTATTAGAGAATAGAATTAGAAATGAAGATTTGGCACTAGCTGTGCTCACAGGTACAGGAGTATCTTGCTTCTGACAGAGTAGAGGATATGCATGTACTACATGCACATATTCTCTTCCTGTGTATACTTCTATGTGTAATCCTTTGTATCTATATGAAGACAGAGATGAGCTCAAGCTGGTGTCTCCAACTCCATTACCACATGGATTATTCTAGTCTTTTTTCCTTCATGATCCAAAAAGGAGAATTTAGCTTCTACCACATCCTTATAATTCTTCAATTCTAGTGTATATGGACAGTGATTTTGGAAGTTAAACTGTACTCATATCAGAAACAATTTTTTTAAATCTATTTATTTATTTACTTACTTATTTGGTTGAGGAGGCTGGAGATATAGCTCAGTGGCATAAGTGCCTGCCTGGCAAGTGCAAGGTCCTGAGTTCAATCCCTGGTACCACCACCAAAAAAAAAAAAAAAAAAAAAAAAAAAAAAACTTATTTGGTTGAGGGTCTCACTATGCACACTATGCAGCTCAGACTCATAGTGATCCTCCTGTCTCAGCCTCTTCAGCGCTAGGATTACAGGCATGTGCCACCATGCCTGGTTTCAGCAGCTGACTTTGCACATCTGGGGTTCCCAGGCTGGCATGGCATGAAGTACTGGGGATCAAACCCAGGTCCTTGTGCTTGCCAGGCAGGCACTTAAACCACTGAGCTATGTCCCCAGCCTGTTTTTTGTTGTTGTTGTTTGTTTGTTTGTTTTTTAATCAAGCAATGTACACTGCTTATGATGTAGGGGAAATACTAGATGTCAGATACACTGACATACTGTTCTCCAAAGTCAAAGAATGAATTACTAAGGAACAACAGAGGCTAAGAGTATGAAAACATATTGGAGACAAGGGATGAGGAATAAGAATGCAGAACAGAAATAGCTCCTGAAAGACAGGAGGGGTCTTTGTATGGGTTGCTAGCCCACTTCTCTGAGGAAGCTCTACAGAGCAAAGTCACAAGGGGTAGGTACAATGTGGGTCAAAACTATAATCAACCAATAAGGCTTAGGTAATATTAATCCAGTAGTAACAAGGGCATGTGGATGACATCATTAACCATAGTAGATAATCTGCAGTTTTAGTCTTATTCTTTTTGGTCTTAGGATGTGGGTGAGGATTACCCACCCCTAAAGAGATAATGGGAAATTTCAAAGGAGTGATAATAATAATCTCAAGCATTGGGTTATCCCTTAGGGAAATATGCAAATAGAGCATTGTAATTTTTAATCTTTATTTGTTTTGTTTTGTTTTTGTCTCCTTAAAACAGGGTCTCACTATGCAGTTCAGGTTCACTATGAGCTCATTTTGTAGCCCAGGCTGGTGTTAGTACTTCTTTTCTTTCTTTTTTTGTATGTATTTTCTTTTTTTTGTATGCAGCTTGGTCTCATAGTGATCCTCCTGCTTTCAGTCTCCCCAGCACTGGGATTACAGCTCTGGGGGCAGGGCCAGCTCAGAAGGTAGTGCCAGGATCCACTGTCCCTGTGCTTGCCTAAACTTGCCTAAACAGCTGCTTTTAGTCCACTGAGCTATCTCGCCAGCCCTGCTCCC